TTATTATTATTATTATTATTATTATTATTATTATTATTATATCAACAATCTACAGACTGATGGGGAGGGACAAAAAGGTGCATTTTATGATATGAATTTATTATTTTTATTAGTACTATATAAGTTGCAAAGTTATAAGAGCAGCTTTTGTCTCTACCCCACCATCCATACATTGTTCAAACAGAGAAAAAAATGTGAATAATAATAATAATTATTCCATAGATAAATAACTAACACACATACATACACATATAATTTTACCACCACTAAAAAAATGTTCACCATAAAAATGACTGCATTAACTTTGGAAATTTGACTACTGTTACCATGGTCAGTTCACTTGAAACTGACAACCTATACTGCAGGTCTGTGTGAAAAATCCTGAACAGAATGACCTCAGAGGCAGACAACAACAACAGCAACAACAACATGACAGACACTTTTTGAATGACAGGATATTTGTTTGGCAGTTGGAGATGGGCCTGAGATAGAGGAGACAGGCAGAAGGTTAAAGAGAAAGAGAGCAGCCGGGCAGCCACTTGAATGCTCGCAGATGAAAGATGCCCTGCTTTAGAAGTTCAGAGGAACTGACAGACACAGACAGGATGTGTGTGTAGGAGAAAGAGAGCAGGGTGAAACAGAACAGCCTCTTAAAGGCTTTATGTGTGTATGTTTCTGCCAAGGCATGCATGGCTTTCTCCGTGTCATTCCGGCCATGCCTGTGGAGGCTTTGGGGATCTGCTAAAGGGAAAGTATTCACTCTCGCTGGGCTAAGCAGACTGCGCCATGCACGTGGGCCAGAGGGGTGACGCTTAGAGCGGACGCAGGCGTCATCCGGTAAGCAGTCTTACAAGAAAATCACACACAGAGGATTAGCTCACCCTCCGAAGGCACCGCAATCGGCTGGTGGTCCATGGGAACAAAAACGGGAGGGCGACTGTGCCATAATGGGGGGCTAACATAGCCCTGCTCGTCTTTAGGGGTGAGGAAAACAGATAACAGATAACAGCACACAGGATAACGTGGACAAAAACATTGACAAAACACACCTTTGAGCTGTCCGTATTCCTGTAGAGGAGAATAATAACATTATTCAGTAAAGATTATATGCAAATGAGTAGATAAAATGAAACGGCACTGGCGGTGCTTTTAACTTCAGCTTATGCAGAGCAAACAATGTAAAACAGGGCTTGATTGTGAAATGCAGGCTATGATAATATTCTTTAATATCTTCCCCACCCTCATTGCCTTGGTCACATCAGAAGAGTGTCATTTCTGATGTGGGAAAAAGTCATTATACTAAAAACAAATAAATATAAAAATCTAAAATAAATACATACTTTATATATGTATGTACTGTATGTTGTATACTAACTAAAAAAATAGGGTACATTTTGATTTCGTTTAATAAATGTCTAGGCTTTTCATTTCAGAAAAGTATGTTGGTTTTATTTAATGCATTTAATATTATATACTTTTCTTTTTTGTTCTTTCCAACCAGCTGTCATATAAAGAGACATCTTCACAATCCTTTCATTTTGGATAAAATCAAGACTTTTCCTACATTTATTGTCAAAGTTTCACTCAAGAATAAAACCAGTGCTGTTTCAGGCTGAAAGCACAAGTCAATTTTGCTTTTATGATTTCTTTGAAGGAGAAGGTTACATTGCTGGATGCTGATCAGATGATTTTTTCCTTTTGGAGAAATTAAAAAAGTGCATAATTACATGGTGAGAACCCACCATCGTGACTGGAAAAATTTGACTCCTTTTCTTCTGGAGCAGCTGACATTACTATAGGCAGTTAACAAGTTAACCCCAAAATAGTGGCGCTTGGCATTTAAAGTGTTTATAGTCTTCAGCTTTCAAAAATATCCAGTACAGTAGCAACAACTGCCTGTGATTGACACTGGAAAAAAGATGAGAAGAGGGAATGTCAGTGTTACAGAACAATGCCGGCGCTTTACAGTTTAATTATACGATGACATGTAAAGAATCCCATATAATCCCCTCAGCTGTGCTTGGCTTTCCGACTCCTAAATAATACACGGAAATGAACAGTGTTTTTCAAAACACATTAACCATTATTATGCCCCTGGCATGCCCAAAATCAAACATTCATGATGTAGACTCCCAGCTTTTGAAACCTGTACGTCCATATGGTGGTGTAACAAGAAGGCACCAAGGAAAACATTAAAGAGACTGTTTTACACGTTTTACTTTATGTTTGCCCTGAAGACAACATATAAAGTTAGTCAAGGTTTCTTGCATCAAAAAAGTCATAGTTTAGCTTTACATGATGCTTTTTATACTTTCCGTGAGCTGTACACTTTGCTAGCATAACTTTAAGACTTCTATATTTATTTTCTGCAATCAGAATAAGGTGTTCAAAATGGGCGTCATGTACACATTAATATGAACAAAACAGGCTTGAACTGATCTCTCAGCCTGACCAATTGAAAAATGTCCCAAATCAGCCAGAATTCAGTTCAATCAAACTAAATGTTGTATAGTAACTTTTATATGAGCCAATGAATATATCATCTTACTATTTTGCCAAATGACTTAAAGTTTGACAAGAGACTATGTTGGAACATCTATTTTAGTTATGATATTAAAAATCATCGCTAACAGCAGAAGCTCCATGATATGCTCTTTTTTTAAAGCGATAGTTCACCCAATAAATTAAAATTCTGTCATCATTTGTTCACCCCCCACTTGTTCCAAACCTGTGTGAGTTTCTTCTGTTGAGCACAAAAGAAGACATTTTGAAGACAGTTGGTAACCAAACAGTTGACGGTACCCATTGACTTCCATAGTATTTTTTTTCTATACAATGGAAGTCAATGGCTACCGTCAACTGCTTGGCTGCCAGCATTCTTTAAAGTTGACATATCATGAAAATCTTTTTTCATGTTTAAGTGCTAATCTACCAACCCTGAAAAGGTAAAAAAAAAAAAAAAAAAAAAGAACAACCCAGGAAATTAGTTTGGTAAGCCTTTCTCTGCAAGCTTGTGAACAAACAAGCTGCTCAGATTTCACCCCCCCCTTGATGTAGAAAGGGGATCTTATTATAACATTACGGCCCCTTAATCTGCACGTTTCCACCCACGGTGCTGCCATTGTGTTTTTGCAAGCGACAACGGTGTACCATTCTAACGCCATGGCGAAGGTATGCTAACACATGTTATGTATGTATATACATGCTAACTGTTCTGTCTTTGGCTGCACTGAGGAGCACAGAACACTGTTTAGAGCCCCAGAGGAGACAAGAGAGCAGTGTATTTATTGATTTATTCACTGTATATTACTCTGCTGCCACACAGATCTAAAATAAACATGCAATTTATTTCCTAGCTGTTTACCTTCACTGACATAACCGACTGTTTTTGTAACTCCTGTGTGTTTTTAACACAAGCTTGAGTGTATTTGACAGCTTAAGCACAATAAGACATGAAAGAGAACTTAGTTTAGTGCTTTCTGTGCGTTCGCTTCGGATGTGTGCGCTCAGAAAACCCTATATCAGAAGTTTAAACTAATATGGTTTAAAACGCATGATTTCAGCGCGATAAACATGATAATTAAAACCAAACAGATGTTTTTTAGCAGAGTATCTGAGGTATGAGCTGTAAAGGCACAGTCCTTTTCTGGAAAAGGGGGCGGGGAGCAACAGCTCATTTGCATTTAAAGAGACATGCACCAAAAAAAGTGTTTCTGCTTCCGCTCAAAAAAGGCATTTTCAAAATTCTATAATAAATTATCTGTGAGGTATTTGCTGAAACTTCACAGACACATTCTGGGTACATCTGAGACTTATATTGCATTGTAAAACGGGGCATAATATGTCTCCATTAAAATATCTTCTTTTGTGTTCAACAGCTGAAATAAATTCATACAGGTTTAGAGCAACTTAAAGATGAGTAAATTATGATAGAATTTTCGGGTGAACTATGCTTTTAATAAAATGAGTGTTTAACGTGGACAATAAAGAGAATGACACGGAGGACGCATTGTTAGACGAGCGTTTATCAAAAAGCAGATCCATCTTCATGTCTGAAAGTATTTTACGATACTTGATGCCCTGTAATGGATTCCTGACAGGCCTCGGGAACAGCAGGTAAGCAGATTCTCATTTACAGAGACCCCCACTGAAAATTAGCATCTTATTAAATTGATTTGATCCACGGAGAGCCGAATGCAGCTCTGTGTCACTTCACTCCTAAATGGATTAGCGCTTTAATGAGTTTATTTGTTCTGGGCAAAGATGCCCATCTGCCTCATATCATCTCCATGACAGTGATGTTACAGTGAAGAGCAACTACTGACAAAATCGACCAGATCAAAGGAGCCGAATGCTAATCGCGCTTTAATTGCAAAAACATATGATTATGACTATGTTATAAAATTAATGGTTGAGATTCCACACATCAGTTGAGTAGTGGCAACCGTAAACATTTTTAGAAGTTTGCAACTTCTTTAAATGCAACTCATCCATCCAGTCGGAACTACATCATTTTATGAAACATAAAATCACAGCCTTTTGTGGCTTATTGCTTTATTACAGATGCTCTTCATGGCATTTTGCAGGCTGTAGTTAGAGTTTGAGTTACATGAACTGCTGTCCTACATGTCACCAGGGAGATCTGTGTGTCTGTAAAGATCAAGACGACAAATGTCAACCAGTGTTCAACTAAAGAAATGTCTTAGTAAAAAAAAAAAAAAAAAAAAGAACAACCCAGGAAATTAGTTTGGTAAGCCTTTCTCTGCAAGCTTGTGAACAAACAAGCTGCTCAGATTTCACCCCCCCCTTGATGTAGAAAGGGGATCTTATTATAACATTACGGCCCCTTAATCTGCACGTTTCCACCCACGGTGCTGCCATTGTGTTTTTGCAAGCGACAACGGTGTACCATTCTAACGCCATGGCGAAGGTATGCTAACACATGTTATGTATGTATATACATGCTAACTGTTCTGTCTTTGGCTGCACTGAGGAGCACAGAACACTGTTTAGAGCCCCAGAGGAGACAAGAGACCAGTGTATTTATTGATTTATTCACTGTATATTACTCTGCTGCCACACAGATCTAAAATAAACATGCAATTTATTTCCTAGCTGTTTACCTTCACTGACATAACCGACTGTTTTTGTAACTCCTGTGTGTTTTTAACACAAGCTTGAGTGTATTTGACAGCTTAAGCACAATAAGACATGAAAGAGAACTTAGTTTAGTGCTTTCTGTGCGTTCGCTTCGGATGTGTGCGCTCAGAAAACCCTATATCAGAAGTTTAAACTAATATGGTTTAAAACGCATGATTTCAGCGCGATAAACATGATAATTAAAACCAAACAGATGTTTTTTTCTGAGGTATGTGAGGTATGAGCTGTAAAGGCACAGTCCTTTTCTGGAAAAGGGGGCGGGGAGCAACAGCTTTAAAGAGACGATGTTTTTTAGCAGAGTATCTGAGGTATGAGCTGTAAAGGCACAGTCCTTTTCTGGAAAAGGGGGCGGGGAGCAACAGCTCATTTGCATTTAAAGAGACATGCACCAAAAAAAGTGTTTCTGCTTCCGCTCAAAAAAGGCATTTTCAAAATTCTATAATAAATTATCTGTGAGGTATTTGCTGAAACTTCACAGACACATTCTGGGTACATCTGAGACTTATATTGCATTGTAAAACGGGGCATAATATGTCTCCATTAAAATATCTTCTTTTGTGTTCAACAGCTGAAATAAATTCATACAGGTTTAGAGCAACTTAAAGATGAGTAAATTATGATAGAATTTTCGGGTGAACTATGCTTTTAATAAAATGAGTGTTTAACGTGGACAATAAAGAGAATGACACGGAGGACGCATTGTTAGACGAGCGTTTATCAAAAAGCAGATCCATCTTCATGTCTGAAAGTATTTTACGATACTTGATGCCCTGTAATGGATTCCTGACAGGCCTCGGGAACAGCAGGTAAGCAGATTCTCATTTACAGAGACCCCCACTGAAAATTAGCATCTTATTAAATTGATTTGATCCACGGAGAGCCGAATGCAGCTCTGTGTCACTTCACTCCTAAATGGATTAGCGCTTTAATGAGTTTATTTGTTCTGGGCAAAGATGCCCATCTGCCTCATATCATCTCCATGACAGTGATGTTACAGTGAAGAGCAACTACTGACAAAATCGACCAGATCAAAGGAGCCGAATGCTAATCGCGCTTTAATTGCAAAAACATATGATTATGACTATGTTATAAAATTAATGGTTGAGATTCCACACATCAGTTGAGTAGTGGCAACCGTAAACATTTTTAGAAGTTTGCAACTTCTTTAAATGCAACTCATCCATCCAGTCGGAACTACATCATTTTATGAAACATAAAATCACAGCCTTTTGTGGCTTATTGCTTTATTACAGATGCTCTTCATGGCATTTTGCAGGCTGTAGTTAGAGTTTGAGTTACATGAACTGCTGTCCTACATGTCACCAGGGAGATCTGTGTGTCTGTAAAGATCAAGACGACAAATGTCAACCAGTGTTCAACTAAAGAAATGTCTTCAAAGTGCATTTCTATCAAATATACAATATAACCTAAAGGTAAAGTGTTTAACCAGCCAAACCTGATTTGGATAAACAGATAGTTTTGCCCCAGACATATGCAATTAACTTTTCTCTGTCAAGTTGATCATTTTATATTTATTATCAAAATATGACATTTTAATAGGACTACAGAGCCCAGTGTTTGCACTTTGGGGGGTAAAAATCAACCGAAAAATGACATACTTGTCTTTGCATGTTAAACTGGGATAAGTGAAAGTATTTTAAGATAGAAACAATGACACGCATCACCTTTAAATCCTGATTTGGTTCTTTAATTTTGTGGGTGTTATCCCACCTCATTGCCATGGATTTAGTACTAAGCTCTTTATCATTATTTCTGTTCAGCTCTCCTCGTGGTTTATCTGCACACTAATCACTCATGGCAGATCCTTTTAACACTGAGACCCTGGTTTATGTAGGAAATGTGCAAGTTTGATAGCACAAAAAAAAAAAAAATTATAATAAAAAAAATATATATATATATGTGTGTGTGTGTTTTTTATTTTATTTCAAGTAAATTATTTTTTAAGGATTTTATTTTATTTTAGTTTCAGTTTTAGTTAACTATAGTAGCCCTGCATTTTAAAATGGAAAATCCAAGCTATATTCTATGTGTTACTTTTTGCATGACTATTTTAAAGGGGTCATATGATGCTTTTTTAAAGATCCTCTCTCTCTCTCTCTCTCGCTCTCTCTCTCTCTCTCTCTCTCTCTCTCTCTCTCGCGCTCTGTCTCTCACTCTCTCTCGCTCTCTCGCGCTCTCTCTCTCGCACTCTCTCACTCTCTCTCTCTCTCTCGCTCTCTCTCGCGTTCTCTTTCTCGCGCTCTCTCGCGCTCTCTCTCGCGCTCTCTCTTTCTCTCTCTCTCGCGCTCTCTCTTTCTCTCTCTCTCTCGCTCTCGCACACACACTCTCTGCCTCTCTCTCTCCTCCGGGATCTTATCTATGCACAATCAGCTTGTAACACTCCAAAGAGAAAGGAAAACTTGAAATCGCATCACATGACCCCTTTAAGTAAACCACATAAAAAAGTATTCATGCAATCTGTTGCATGCAACTGTGCACTTAGTAAATCAGGTCTGAGTGTGCACTTACATATAGGTATTTTAGCTATATAGATATACTGTATATGAATCATTAGCACTGCTTGTTCTGGAGAGCTTTCAGTAATCGTTGCATTGCTAGGATCAAATGCCACAAAGTACCAACTATAATTTCACATGGGATTCAAAAAATCTTATGAAATACAAGTGTTTGGGCATCTTGTGTGGTATAATTGAATTTGCATGCTGATTGTTTTGCTACAGATAATTGCAATAAACAAAAACACTTAGCAGCTTGAAAAAACACTTCAGTCAGTCACACCGAAAATTAAAGGCTTGATTATCTGCACTGATGATTTTAATATGCCACCCAGGTGTCCGCGCTAACCAGCACCTGTCAAAGTTTTAAACATGCAAGACAAATAAGCCCTCGGCATGACAATCATCTGTCATTACCTCTAAAAACCATCTGATTCTTTTAATCGCTCTTGCCACGGGAGCCCATAGAAACGCACGAAAAAAGAAAACATTTCCACCCGGTGCAGCAAGGCAAAAGCAGTCTCATCGACCTGACATGAAACCATGACGCAAGGGAAAATCGAAAAGATTCTATTCCACATTCCAGAGGGGATTGTTTTGCCTTTCCTTCCCGTCTTTTAATTACACCTTCTCCCTTTGCCTTCCAAGGGCACAGACTCCTCTAAGTCTCCCAGCCTTCTCCTCTCAAATGTGAATGTACCGTTTTAAATCAGGGGTTATCTCAGACGCCAGCGTTCTTCTGATGAGACAACTTCAGACAGAATTTAGTCCCCCGGCTCCGTTTTATTTTCGGTGCAGGGTTCTTAGGGCAGTAATTGAGATATTATCTGCTTAAGGGAAACCTCACATCCTGAATCACTATACGACTCAATACGAAAGCCCAAAGGGTGACATCTACATCCAGAGGCTTTTAAATAATGCAAGTGACAAATTGGTGCTTTGTAATGGAGAGGCTGATTTAACCCTTGTATTATGTTGCAGGTCAATTTGAGTTGTTGAAATAACGGTTAACATAAAAAATGTGTGACAATTTCTCATTTAAAATCATGAACATGCATGCATGCATATGCATACGTGCATGCAAAATTTTGATGTTGGCAGGTCAATTTGACTCGCACTTTCATGGTTAACAGCAGCTGCACAGACCAAAAATAAAAAATAAAAATATATTTTTAAAAAATACGGTGTGAAATACTTCACAAAAGCACACACACACCACACACACATGGCAGGTCAATTTGACTCGCACTTTCATGGTTAACAGCAGCTGCACAGACCAAAAATAAAAAATAAAAATATATTTTTAAAAAATACGGTGTGAAATACTTCACAAAAGCACACACACACACACACACACACACACACACACACAAAAGAAAGAAAAATGTAATAAAATGTAAAAAATTACATTTAAAATAAATAGTTACAGTACTGTTTAAAATATTCTTTTGTTTTTTTTTAAATAGTTGTTAAATACAGTTTTATATCACATTTTCAAATGTTTATTTTTTTTACTTTAGCACTTACCTTGGTTGCATGTTTTTCCTGTGTAACCTGGATGGCACTTGCATTTGTTGGGTCCCACGCATTCTCCATGTTTGCATCCGTGCTGACATACCGCTGTAGGCGAAAAGATCATCAGTATCACTTTACACCAAATGTCAGAGTCTATGCAGTAGACATGGAAACATGTACCAAAACAGCCTTTAGTTTTCGTGCTAAGAAAAAACAGTCTTTCTTGCTGTGGGAAATAAGTGTCCGTACAATTAGACCTCGAGGATATTGTGGCGAGAGATCCACAAAAACATTATTTTGGAACGCTCGCCCCCTACATCAATAATTCATTGTTTGCCTTGGTCATTTTAATGAACCTGGGACATGCCGAGTGTACGGTCCATTTCACTTCTGCTTTATGACTCATTAAATCTCACATTTGGATTGGGAAACAGCCCAGAGCTGTGCAACATCAGAAACCTTTGAGATCTAGACTGGGGGAAAACATCCTCAGAGTTGACATGGGGTAAATTTAGGATCTGTCATTTTCAAAATAGTGACAAAAAGAGGCAAAAGAAAAAAGAAAAAAAGCTTAATCCCATCTTATACTACTCTTCCTAATATTTTCATGAGGGGTCTGTGTTTGCAGCTCAGGAAATGGATCTGTCTTAGTACGGCAGATTAGGATTAGAGCGACGCAAATCAAATTATGTTTAATGTAGTACACTGTAAAAAAAAAAACAACATCATGGTAACACACGACACTAAAATAATGCAATAAACATTAATTTAACAACACTATGTGTAACAGAAAAACCTACTGTACATAATTGACAACAAAAACTAACATTATTTTTTGAACAAAATACCATCAAATGTAAAGAGTCACTTTAAATTATAAGATAA